CATTTCCTACTGTTTACTTTGTTCAGGTTGGTATATGTCTGCACCATATTTTCTTATTTCCATGCTAAAATCTAGTGGCCAGTTCTGACTACTTAAAACCTGAGGAACCTCACCACTCATGGTATGTAGAAAGTCTAAATAGGAACCAAAAGCCTAGACTGAGGGAATCCTCCAGCACAACATTCCAGGTGCTTTTGAAGTGTGAGCATAGCAGTAACTCTAACAAAAATGCAATTACACTCCCATGGCGCCAGAACAGCTTCAGACATAACCCCATATTAAATTAGTATTAGTCTACATGTGTGCTATAGATTAGGAAGAAATGCACCCTGAAGTCTCAAATGGACATACTATGCATTCCTATTAGGAACACTGTTCAACATCTCAGTCTGTCTCATACATCAAAGTGGCATGACCTTCTGAATTGTCTCTAGATTGGCTTGCACTGTCTGTGCTTTAATATGCACCCCTATACACATACACTTTTGAATATATTGGTAACAATTCATCATCAATAAAAGTTAAATCCTCCTTACTATCTACAGATTACTGAAACATCCTAACAAACTTGCTTCAAGGAGCAAATGAAAACATTTCTGGCACTATAACAAGCAGCTTTGTCTACAGTATAGATAAAATACATGGCCCAGTGGTTTATAGATCATTGCCTGATATAGATCATACATTCACTGGTGCTGGGCTTGAGCTGTCCTTCCAAGGTGGAGGAGCATGCTCACCCACTCCCCTCCACCACGCTAATGTGAGCAGGGCAATCTACTCACAGAAATGCCCTATCACACAGACAGGCCTAGTCCAGGTTGTCCTTTCTCCCCAACAGCGTGTGTTCATGAGTGAGGAAGGAAGGAGACTGTGTGAACTTGACATCCATACGAATAGATGTTTGTGTGGAGCACGTGACTCACACGTGATGCCATTTGCATGGTGGAGGAATTAGAGCTAGCCCCCTCTTCCACCATGCAAGAGCGGAACTGTCCCTGGCAAATGTAAGAACCAGGACTTCGTTACTAGAATTATCTAAGGTTATAACGTTTTCTGCATCTTCAGAGTTTGCCATTGCTAAATCTTAAGGACCTCCTGCCTGTAAACTGGCCCTGTAAAGCAGGAGGCAGCAAACTTTTTCAGCAGGGGGCCGGTCCACTGGCCCCTCAGACTTTATGGGGGGCCAGACTATATTTTGTTTGGGGGGGGAATAAAAATGAACAAATTCCTATGCCCCACAAATAACCCAGAGATGCATTTTAAATAAAAGCACACATTCTACTCATGTAAAAAGACACTGATTCCCAGACTGTCCACGGGCTGGATTTAGAAGGCAATTGGGCCAGATCTGGCCCCCGGGCTGTAGTTTGCCTACCCATCCTGTAAGCTGAGAACATTACTGAAAGCTGCAAACATCCTTAGAAAAAGTCACCGTGGCAAAGGTTGCGAACCCCAGCACAGAACCCCCATACACAAGGGATGTTATGCTTAACTGTTGAGAATTGAGCATTTCATCTAAGGACTTTTGTTGACACATTCTGCGGGGTGTTCCATAGAGCTTTTGCAGCCATCCTTTAAGATGGCTTTTCTTGCAATCTTTCACTGTCTTCTTAATAATACTTCCCACACACGCTGAGGATTATCCTTCATAGAAATCTCTTCCAGAGTGATTTGTTAAATAGGGAAAGGATATAGACTTTAGCTAAGCAATTTTTTAAAATAACCTTCAGTGGGTTCTGAGTAGAGGTTGGAGTGACAGTTGAGGCAACAAGAACATTTACTGGAACTTCTTGCTCATTTGAGAGGCAGAGTTCAGCTACACTTTGCTTCCCAGACCATCAATATTTTAATCTCAATCTACACAAAGAACAACTTTGCCAGCCTAAATAAATAAATAAAGTCAGGTTAATTATTAATCTCAACTTCTGGCAATTGTGAACTACTCACTAAACACGCAATAAGGAAAAGGCTACTGTTTACCAATGAGAGTGTAAAGGCTTTGCATTGTTGACTTTAGGATTGCATTGTTTGCAACATGTTTCCTATTAAGCTGAACAACTGCTTACATGTTTTGCAAGGAAGATCTCAGCTATGCCCTTTCTGCAACAACTTGGCTCCTGCAAACAACATTGGTAGCTCTTGTGTGTAGATGAGCTGCTGCTTGTAGATTGTGTTATTAACAAAGCATCAATTAAATATGCCTTCAAACTAAATGCATGGTCATACTTAATCACAGAGCAAATATAATATATTTGAAGATATAACTAACAGCAGGTCTGAACTACTGTCAATCCCAGCAACAGAATCACTCAGAAGAATGGTAGGTAACATATGGAAAGAATATAACCCACAGGCATCCCAAATAGTAACCAGAAGGATCTGTGGGATCTGTTTCTCTGAAAATCACATCTTTGATTGTTCTGGAATTGAGGGCAGAGCTTCAGCAACATGTTTTTTTAAAGTGTCCACAGGAGGTCCATCACCATAGCTCAAAAAACTGAGTAAAAGCCCTGCTTGCCCAATTTATTTTGGTTAGAATGCTTTCAATCTTGATTGTGCCCACTGAAGTCCTATCAGCAATTTTAAACTTTCTGGACCATTTATTCCTATATAAGACAGAAGGTGGATGCTGCAGCTTTCATTTCCGAACCAATCGGAATATACAACTCTCTTGAAAGATGTATTTAAGACTGCTCTGCAGGCCATTAACTATGGGGTTACTAACACTCCACTGATTAGGGTTCTGCATTATAAAATGCTAGCTTATGTCCTTATGGCACATTATAAGGGATATGAGGTTAATTTACACCATAATTGTACATAAATGACAGGGAAAGGAAAAAGCTGCAGTCTAGATCGTATCCGCACTCAACATATGGGGAGAAGAAGGGATCTCTGTGTTTTTTTAAATCAGGAAATTAAACAGGATACAATTGGAACAAGGGGGCATGCAGTTCAGTCATCTCTTGCACTGGTCTAACCTTACAGGAGTTAATGAGACTGAATCAATATATATGGTCATCAGTCAATCTCTCAGAGGAGGGGCAGGCAGTTTCTTCAGTCAGAAGAGACAGGCCCTGCCTGGTAAAGCTATTCATGGCCTAGAGAAATTTGGGAAATGATGGCATTGCAGCCACCAGGATATCTTGCTTATGCTCCCCTGAAAAGAAGATCTCAGCAAGTGCCAATCTCATTCCAAAACAGAAGGTCATGTGATGGACTTTCATACTGATTTCATCCTGGTATAAAGAGTAGTGGGAGAATCAAAGTATAGGCTGAATGCAGCCTGCAGGCTGTCAACTGGCCACTACTGTCTTAGAATATAGAAGCATTCCCTTTGGAAACAAAAATGTCATTAAAAGAAGAATGATACTAAGAGGTTTCCCCATGTGTATGCTTCTCTTCCAAGAATGTGTCTCTTGTCCCTGTGCATTGACTTTATGCACTGTCTAGGCATTTTTCCTTAAGAAATAAATTCTGGGACTTCTCAGTATACTCTGCTTGTGCATAACACACAGTACAGTCTTCACTCCATTTACTCTAAAGTTGCCCAAGGGAGCTCAGAACTACTCTGGAATCAGTAAACTGAAAACTGGCAGTCTGGTATACAATTTAATTAAACCTAAATACTTCTACTTTACAGCAGTTTAGTCTACTTCAATTCATTGGCTGCATAAACTTAAATCAGTAGTTCAACAAAATTGAGGAGTTAGCTGTTATCCTACTTTATATCCCCAAGGTAATCCATAATGTAATTTCTGTAACCTTACAAGCAAGCTATGGGGACAAATTTTCATCTGTTTCACTGAATTAATGTGTCATACATTAAACACAAGGAATTTGAATTACACTGTATCTTACAGAAAACTTTTTACGGCATGCTGATAACAGTCAGTAGGAATCTATTGATTGAAGGAATGTGTTTAAGACACACATACTGGAATGCAGAGATATTGATTTTAATCCAGTAATTAATGGAAGAAGAGATAAATTGAAATGAAGACTGGTCACTGGTCATTAATCAGTTGACAGCTTTAGCAGTTATAGACTTACATGAGACTAGAGAGACCAGAGAGACTTGTGAACCACAGCTAAAGAAATACATCCTGCTTATCAACCAACCACTTCATAAAGCCTTTTTTCTAGGCTACAGTTCCTTGAAACTCAAACCACACACAATTTTTCACAAACATGCTTGATCCAATCAAAACTTCATTTTGTATCTCTCTTTTTCCAGGGCCAAGAGATTCAAGACCCTCTCTACTCTCTGTCTTGAATAATCCTGTAAAATGTGGTTTACTTTTACTGGGTACATTTAACTGGAAATAATTCCCACTGAAATCAGTGGAACTTTCTTCTGGGTAACCAGGAACAACAGTGATTTGTTAGCCAATGATACAGAAATTCAAGGAACCACTTGCATCTCCCAAGATAAAATAAACATCTAGAACCAGAGCAGTCCACAGCCCAACTGCTTCTTAGTAGACTAACCAAAGTGCTTTGGGACCAAACTAGATGCTTTTTAGACCATAGTGATAATGATTACTCATTTATTATTTTCTACAAGAGGGAGAAGGCAGCTTCCTGGTCAAAGGAAGGAAGAACTTTGCCTTCGATAACAACCCTTTATGCCACTATGTGAGGATCAAGGTTCCCAAATAGAGTACTGCAGAGCCTTATGCCCATCAGCCTGCAGTACAATATTTTTGCACTGGACACCACAAGGCCAAGCAATTAAGGGAGAAGAGGAATTTAGACAAGCACAACAGGCATGTAGTTTCCATGCAACTCTTTCAGTTCCATTCAGAAATACACACCCTTTCCTGCAGTGGTGACTGGTTATTTTAAGATCTGTGCAGAAATTTCAGGGCAGATTACAAACTCTTTCCAGTGGATTCTTGTGATAAGCTACATAACTTCTCTACAAGAAGTAGAGTCGACTTTAGAGGCAGCAGCAGAATACCTCCTAGAGGTTTCTGAGATTAGGTTTCCAAATCATCCTAGCCCGAAGGGGTGGACTCTGGGAAGGCAAAGACACCTCTGCCCCCCCCCCCCCCTATTTCATTCCTGGTAGAGTTCCCAAACTTTCTCCAGGGACAGATTTGACCCCCCCATCCCGCTAGTAAGGGAGAAGCCCTGCATCTTGTCCGGATGCAGAAGTCGCTAAGCAGCTGCTCACCTCTGGTGGCCATCTGCAAGAACAGACGGGGCTGGGAGGCTCTGATCGCCGCTGATAAACTGCCTTCTCTGCCCTGGAAGGACGCCTTCCTCTCGGGCATCAGCCGGATCCTCAGCCTGCCTTCTCCAGAGCGGATCCACCAGCTGAATTCCTCGGTCAGGGTGAACTCGATCTGGCGTGCCTCTGCCTGGGCTCCTTCCCCGGCAGGATGCCACGCGCAGTCCTCCCGCAGGTTGGCTTCTCCCACTTCCAGCACCAGCTGCTTGGCGCGGCGCAGCTTCCTCACCGAGCCGCCTTTCAGCACCTTGGACGGGGCTCTGGCGCGGCCAGCAGGCGCCGCCGACCCGCTCCTGGGGAGCCAAGAGCTGACCGCGCGCAGCAGCGGCTGGCAGGCGAGCACCAGGCTGCAGCGCGCCTTGAACCCGCCCAAGGCTTCCCCGCCGCCCAGCACCAGCTCCCGCAGGTAGGTCCGGAACAGAGAAGGCACGATGAAATCCATGGCCAGGCTTTTCCTCTGCTGCCGGGAGAAACTCGGCGCATCCCGCTGCGGCGGGCGGGAGCCCGGAGGGGAGCTCCCCGCTTCCCGGGGCACCGCTTGGGCGGCCAAGGCGGCCAGAACGGCCAGAAAGAAGAACCGCGGCAGACCGGCGGCGTTCATCTTGCCATGGAATGGAGCGGGCGGGGAAGAGGCGAGAGTCCGAAAAGTAAGCTTCCTCCCGCTTCAGGCACCAGCGGGAACCAACTGGCCGCTGAGGCGGATCCTCCTGAAGCGGAGCCACCAGCAGCACACGAGGCGGATTCGCGCTCCAATCACCGCCGCCCCCAGACGCGCCCGAGACGGTCTAAACGTCCCGCCACATCCTTGTGGCAGCCTCTTCCCTGAAGAGGCAGGAGGAAGGTGGAGGCGGGGGCTCTTGCCTCGACCTCGCGCCCAGCCGCTTGCAGGCGGCGACAGGAACGCGCGCGCGCGCCCCTGACCGCCCGAGATTCGTTTTTGTTTTTGAAACAAGGGAACGGACCGCGCGTTTTCCCTCGCGCTTCGCCAAGTCTGTGGCCAAACGCCGCCGTCCGCTTGGTGTCGGGGGGGGGGGGCGGAACCTTCCCCTCGGCGGGTTCCTGGGGGCCAGAGAACCACTTCTCTCCGGATTCCTCGCGCCTCTGCGCACAGCTTTGAGAGTTGCAAGGGGGCGGCGCGCAGCGTCTCTTCAAGTCCCGCGTCGTCCAGACGTCTCGGGAAGCGACGGGGCCCCCGCTTCTGGCCCGCTGGCGTGACTCTCCCAGGCCCCGGCGAGCGCTCTCCTTTCCCTCCTCGCCGGGTTCTCTGGCGCAGGCTCCTTGCCCGGAGGTTCCCCCGAATCGTTTGGCCCCGAGTCGCCCGGAACAGGCACTGAGCTCCCTTCGCAGCCTGGGCTCTTCTTCTTCGACTTCCCTGCGCCCTGGCAGGTGACGGAGGAGCTCCTTTTTGGCGGGAACAGCGGGCCTTTCGAATTACCTCAGGACTCGCCGTCGCTTTCTTCAGACTGGCCGGTCGCCGTGGCAGGTGAGACGCTCATTCTCTCGCCGTTGCCCACCCGCCCGCCCTTCCTTCTCTCGCTGCTTTTTCTGAAGGGAAGAGCGTGGTGGTTTCGCGGTTTCGCTTCCAGCCGGAAAGGCAACTGCTACTTCTACTATCGCCGCCGCCGCCGCTGCTAGTAGTCGAGACTCCTACTCCACGTTTGCTTGGCGCTTCAGCCTCGCTCTCTTCTATCTGCGGGCACCACCGCTGCGAAGATTTTTCACAGGCTCCAACTACCCGCCACAACCCTGGCATTACCCTGTGAGCGCTGACATCACGCACGAGCGCGGCTGCTGGCAGCCAATGGCCATTTCGGAGGAATTCATTATGCAAATGAACAGAGGTAGTGGGAGGGAGGCGCGAGCTGGAGAACAGCCGGCCATTGAGAAAAGCAATGAGATCTACGCTCGCTCGCTCGCTCGCTCGCTCGCTCTCGTTCTCCTCTCATTCGCTCTCTCTCTCTCCCTCGTTCATTTCGCTGATGGCAGAACAGGCTGGCTGTTTTAGGCAAATGAGAGAGCCCTGCCTTGAAGGGAAATTTGCAAATGTGCACTTTCCCTAATTATGCATTAAAAGATTAAGCGGATCAAGCGAAAGAAAAAAGAGGGGGACAAGTCCCTATGAAATAGGATGTGCATAGGAGGGCTTTAACTCAAGGCTTCTCTTGGTGCCCTAACAAGATATAAATCACCGTCTTCTATAGAACACAGATGAGGGAATAAAGAAGACTGTGAGGTCTAGTGTACTGGCACAGCATTGTATTATTAACTATCTCACAAACAGAGGCAGTGAGCAGACCTGCTGCTAAGTAGTGGTGGAGGTGAGCACATGCACTTCAGAATGTGTCACACCAATGTAAGGCAAGTCTAGATCACGCCAAATGTGCCCCTGAACTCATTTTCCCCACTCGCAGGGCAGGGGACACCAAACTCTTGAGACCTGAGGGCACATTTTAAATTGTATTTGTTTATTAGATTTATATACCACCCTTCAGCATAAGATCTCAGGGTGGTTCACAGAATAAAATACAGGATAAAAACAAGTAAATAAGTAAAGCAAAACGGGGGACGGGACCCTTCCTACAAACACATTTAAAAGGCCTGGTTGAAGAGGAACATTTTTGCCTGGTGCCTACAAATATTTTATGAAGGTGCTGGGGGAGAGCATTCTACAAATGGGGAGCCACTACAGATGGAAGATTCCCCACAGAATCTAAATTTGATGCAGTCCAGTCTCCTATGAATGTCTCCTGGGAAACAGGGCTGTCTCTACCATAAACACAGCTGCCTGGGTCCCCAGGATGTAGAATTTAGGGAGCACACGTTATGCTGGAAGCATCCAGGGCTCTTCACTCCTTCTGATATGGCCAGCTCTCCACGCAATTTGTGGCGTGCCTCAAGCCACTGACAGCACAAGAGTTTCTGTAGCACATGCTCAACACAAGCTCTCACCTAACTCTATACTAAAGTGCAAACAACAAACAAAACCACTTGCACCAGCCTTGTAAGCCAATGAGTTCAATAAGGCTATCTCAGAGAATCCTTGGAATAAATTACTTGTATGGTTTCATACAAGTCTTTTCCAAGAAAGGAAAAAAATAAGTGCAGGTGGTCCGCCCACTCCCACCAAACTGCCTGTGAGGCTCTCTGACCTTCATTCCAACCCAATAAAACTCCCCTTCCTGCCCACTTCTGGTGACAGAGAATGGGAGGAACTAAGGAAAAGGACTGATCTCCCATGCCTTGCCCCCTTCTTTACCAGCACCCTTCAAGCCACTACACTCTATACCAGGTGCAACTAATCTGGGGAATGCAAATTTCCCATGGACTACTGACATCCATGGTTGTCTTTGGGTCTTGTTCTTGGCACACTTGTTCTTGGGTGCTGCAGGAGAAAATACCCTTCTGTTCTTTTCTCTCTTGGTGCCACCAGAACATTAGCAGGTCCTTGCTAAGTGGTAGGCTGGAGGATTTTTGGTAGGTGAGATATAGCAGGAGTTCAGTTGGGAGGAGAAAAGCATTTGTATTATCTTCTTTTGCTTGGATAAAAATTTGAGACCAGCATTACATGCCCCTACAATGGCATGTAACAGAAAACATAAGTTTTCACTAGTTACAAAAAGGAAAAAGGAAAGAAAATGATTGAACCTCTACACTTGCATTTAAAGCTTTCTATTGAGCAAAACTTTCCTGACCTTTCCCCTTTGCAAAAACTAGTTGATCTAATCGAATCTCACAGGGCTGATGCCTGAGACTACCAGATCACTATTAGGTTTAAAATTCTGAACTTCTGGAAAAATTCTGCCTATGACTTGTGTGCACACATCCGTTTTCTCTTCACCCAGTGTGCTCCCACTGTTGGTTTGGGAAGCAGTGTACAAACAGCATTAGCCACAATCCACACCTATCCTGCCATTTCTATGAAATACAGTGTTTTGATCCCACCCACCCCAGCCCACCGCCCAAACAGCTTCAGTCCAAATTGGGGAAAAGAATAACCTAGCTACAAAAAAAGCTGGTGGTTGTGCACACAGCCTAAATCTGTTTGAAAGACCGAAGTGTAATTTTTTCCCACCTCCGTTTGGCAGAGGGTTTCATGGAAGGTCACGTATGTCTGACTTTTCCTGCCAGGTGAAGATTAATAGCCTCTGCACTGGGGTGATTTTCACACTAACATGTATTTATTCCTTCGACTTTATAAAAAATAAAAAGGTGAACATCATTTGTAAAGCATTTCCAGTGTAGGAGGTACAATGCAAGTGAATATATCAGTGTTATTTCCAGTCTTTGGAGAAGGTTGCCCAACTAGCTAGTCAAACACCTGGTGAGCAGCATCAACATCCAGCTTTCTGTTTCATTTAAGAAAGAAAATAAAAGATGAGGGCTTTACAAGTAAATGCCTTTTACCACTGAGGCATTGCCATAACCACCAGCCACCTTTGAAGGCAACAGTTTTCTAGATAAGCCATGAACCCTGATCTAGAAAACTGTTGCCTTCAAAAGTGGATGGTGGTTATGGCAAGGTCTCAATACTAAAAGGAAGAGCACTCATACTCTGCCTTTCTAGCTTTCTGACATAAGGCTGATCTTTTTCAGGTATCTTTTGGAGTATAATGACTCCTTAACTGACAAACGAATGCTGTTCCTGCTTACTTTGTGTCTTTGGTTTGGCTTCTGCTGCTTTTATTAGTTTGCTGCCTTGGGTTTTATGCAATGGTTTTAATTTCTGCTCTTTTTAGTTATGTACTTTAAGCTGCCTTGGAGATTTTCAATCAAAAGGCAGCATAGATCTGTTTTAATAAACAAACTAAAACATATGCTCAGAGGCAGTATACTTTTCATGTCTAGACAAAAACAATAGAGGTTGCTGAGAAGCTGAGATTTCATCTGACACCAGCTCTGAAAATTGATTCCATCCTTGGGATTGTCAGCATGATTTTTCCTCTTCCTCAATGGGCTCCTGTACCTGTAACACCTGGGTGACATGCAAACATACAGCAACTGTAGGAATTGGGAATTCAGTTTGTGGTAGTTGCTATTGATTAGATGTTTCCTTGTGTATATAGTGCCATTGATGTACACAGTGTATGCATGCTAGTAACAGAGGGAGTAATATGAAATATCAACTTATTTTTTAATGCACACCAACAGCAGCACAAGGTACATGAGTCCTGCTTGTTTGCCCAGAGGTATAATGTGATAAAAAATGAGATGTGAAAGAGATTGGGGCTGGGAGATTATTATTCAGAGTTATTGCAAATGCATTCATATCATAGCATGCTTTCTGGAACCAAACCCTGGCCACCCCTGGCTCAACCTACCAATTTATTTATTAATGATATTTATTCCATTTATATCCTGTCTTTCTTCCATGATGGAAAGGCAAGGCAGTGTACATGGTATTCTTCAGCACTCTCCCAGGCTGGATGACTGCAACAGACTAAATGTGGGGTTGTCCTCAAAAGTGATCCAGAAACTTCAATGGGTCAAAAATGCAATTCAAGTTACTGCCATTTAGAACATACATAACCCCAGTTTTGAAACAGCACCATTGGTTTGTCTCCAGCCCCAATTCAAGGTGCAGCTTGAATTGATCAAAGCAAT